TCTCTCTCTCTTCCTCTCTCTCTCTCTCTCTCCTCTCCTCCTCTCCTTCCTTCCTCTCTCTCTCTCTCTCTAATAAGCATCTATCAGTATCTAACCATTAACTCAATAATTTTCTTTTTTTCCTTCCAATAGGTTTGAATGAAAAATGAAATGACCTTTTAAGCTTGCTTACGCATGCATGCATGCGTCAGTTGTGCAGTCGTGCAGTCATGCAGTCGTCAGTTGTCAGTTGTCTATATGTGCGTGTGTATGTATGTATGTGTGTGTGTGTGTGTATGCATGTATATGTGTATGTGTGTGTGTATGTCATTGTTTGGCATTGGTAAACATAATGATGTACTTGGAAATTTTTTTCGCCAATTTTTCTTGCTTTTCATGCTTAATAGATATGTGTGTGCATATGTGATATGATAATGCATATGTACAAATGATATAGCAGCGTAAGATACGCAGAAATAAACAAAATGCAGAAATAAACATCCTTAATTAGCCATCCATTTCAATCTAATTGGGCACATTATTATTAATCGACTAAAAATATTGCACTTCTTATTTGATTGATAGTTTGAATGTTCTTCACTCCTTATGAATTGATTATCAATTGCATTGCTGCATGTAATAATGCATGTAGCATTATAATGTTGCTTGCAGGTTAGTGCTGCTTCATGATAAAAACCTTCAAGCACTTGCTGATAAATGACAATTCTTCCACCATTCCTAATCTGTCATATATTTGTACTATTGAATGTCAACTTGAACGAAAGACTGGCTTATTATGAAAACTTCATCACTTTTATCAGATCTTTATGTTTCATTTCATCACCTGTTTGCTTCTTTGATCAAATATAAATGAAATTAATGTAACTTTTATTGATTTCTGTTCTCCGATTAATGATATTAATGCTCCATAAATGATTGCTTGTAATCTAGCATTGTTAAAATTAAAAGCTAAAAATTAATCATTTTCAGTTTCATAAATTACAATTTATTATAATTTGTTTCAATTTGAACTTAATGCAAGTTTGACTCTAAGTTAAGTAAAAGTCTCAGTTGATGAGGAATTGAAATAGTGATGTTATGTTATACCATACTTCATCGTATCCTTTCCTAGAAGAGAATAGTTAGTTGGATTCTTTCCATAGAACTCGAAATTTCCATTTCGACCAGTGTTGGTGTCATAATAGCCTTCTGAAGTGATGATGGCATGGATGTTCAGTGTATCTTTTCAGTATATCATCCATCCATCTATTCATCCTCCTATTTCATTTCTCTATTCCTTCATTCTTATTCTTCTCTTTATACTATACAGTATTTTAATGAAGAAGTTGAGGCAAGGGGAGTACGCGGGGTACGGGGGTCGGATGCGAGAGAAGACGAGGAGCCAATAGGGTAGGGTTTATTCGATGCATGGCACTATCTCGGTTATCGCAGCAGGTGAACAAGCAGTTTCCGTAATTGTTCATTTTTTTCTAGCATATGCTAATGCTGCCTTGATGGTGAAATATTTCCTTTTTCTCCTCTCTTGGTCTCTCTCTCTCTCTCTTCAAAAAGGGTGAGAGGAGTAACGAAGATAGACAATTCGGCTCTTTGGCAGTAAAATTTCTTCGTTTCCAGAAATTTTTTTGACAAAAAATTTCTTTTTTAAAAAATTTTCGTTTTTTCGGGATTGTTGAAACAATTGCGGTCGTACGACTGAGAGTAATAATGCCCAATCTCTGCCTTCCACTATTTTTATCACTTTTTTCTTTTCTCAAAATTTTCATACAAACTGAAAAAATAGCTATAATATATCCGGCCAGAAATTTCATATAATTGGCTCTTCTGATATTATTTAACTGAATTTGGAGACAATTGAGTTAATTAGATGAATTATTTTGAATTGTTTTGATAAGTTGTACTTTTGTTTTGAAAAGGCTGCTTTACTGATATAAATTCCCATCATAACGTATGAATGTTAAAATGGAGCACAACGCTCATTCAGTCATCAGATGATTCAGTTATCGCATCTCTGGTTTACTACTGGCATCACCTGAATTACTTTTGTCGGATTAAATTTTTCTGAATTGATATTGACTTGAATGAGCTAACTTCATTCAACCATTGTTAATCTTAATTTTACTCCCGCCTTTGTTCACTTGTTCGTAAGTCACTTGTTGCCCCACAAGTGATTGATAGTGAGCTTCTTACATAAAATCAATTTTGGTTGATTGACTTGACTAATTAAGGTTGTTTGTAGCAAGAGAATAAAATGAGATGAAGTAAGTTCTGCTATTTGCTTTGGATTGGGGAAAAAGGTATGTAAGTATTGTTTTCGAATGACTACTTCCAGAAGACGACGTGGTAAGGTAAGAAGAGCGAGGGAAGAGTGGAAAAAAAAGAATATAATATTGTAAAGTTTAGATTTTCTTGCAAAGAACGAAAATTTATCTTCATGTTTTCAATAATATCATCGAAATTTCCATCACCAACAATTTATAAATATCCTTTGTTGATTTTCAGTCGCGCTTAGCAGAGACAGGGAATGGTCATAGTTGATTAGCTTTAGCAGAGACATGTTAGAAATAACCGCCAGCTTATGCCATTACTACGGGTTTTGAAATCGAATAATCTTGAAAGTTCACGTGAAAAGCAAAATATCCTATTGGCATTATTAAAAAAATAAACAGTTCGTTTATGGTACTCTACATTAAGATTTATTAAAATTATGGGGATCTCCCAATGATCTGATGAAAATTTGCTGATAATCTCATTAGGGAAGTTTACTCTATTTCTTGAATTATTATGACTATCATAAGTTTAAAGGTTGCAAGTTTTGGAGTTCTGTTTATGAATTTCTTCAGCTAATCATCGATTCCTTTCTGTTTGCTTACAAAGTTCATAATGTTCCAATCTCATACATCACAAATGTCTGGCGAGATTAGCACCGCTAAGTTATAATATCGTTACTAATAAAATCCCTTGTCTAATAAACTATTTAATGGTTTGTTTATATATTCAAAGTTTCAAAACCTTTGCTTATTTTACATTCCTATAATTTCGGGCGATTCTAAAATCGTAGTTTTTCGTCTTTCATACGTATATTAGAAGGCACAGTAGTAATTAGTGACTACAGTATAAAGAAAAAGTAAATTCATTCACAAATTACTTTATCTTTCACTTACGCGTTTCACATCATTTTTTTTGTTGTTTATTTTTTTTCTTGTTTTTCTTGAATGGTACTTTCTAAAAAAAGGCCTGTAAAGTCTCAGTTGTGATACAGACTAAGTTAGATTTTCAGTTTTAATACAACTCTATTTTTCAAACGCTAATATAATTCGTTTCATTGTAGCCGAATCCAGAAAGCGAAAATTCGACCACTTTTTCCGATTAATTTCTCATTAAGCCAAATTTTATTGAGAATAATACGAACTATTACTACACATCACAAAATAACTGTCACCAGTGATAATTAAATACGATGAGTGATGATGATGATGATTATAGAAACTAGCCGTTAACTGGGTACTGTCATTTCAACAATTCTTCCTCTTCTTCCTCTTCTCGCAAACCTCACAATCGTTCTTCTTACTAATTTGACAACCGGAACTAGTTTTGTATTTCCCACTGGAGTTCCAATTAAATTCACTCTGAAAAATCATCAAAACATCAGGTCTTCTATTTTTCATCTCATTAACAAATCACTTCCATTCATTTCAGCAGCAAATGTTTGCATGTTTAGTTTTACCTATGGTATCAACTTTCCTGCTTAATTTTGTTGGATTACGGTACTCTGTTGTGGTTTTTGTTGAATTTGAAAATAAAACTGGCTTTGAAATAGATAGTGATGGTACTCTAATGACAGCATCAGGATTATCACTAAAATTGTCGAATTTTTTTCGGATAGGTTGAAGTGCTATCACTTGCTCATAAAATCACCCATTGAATAGCTCTATTTTGTTTGGTAAAGTCAAATATATTTGAATTAAATCTGGTGGTATTGTGGATTGAAGTTCAGTAATTGGACAAGCAGAGAAATGATTTGGATAGGATGTTTTCCGACGTTGATATGATGCTGGTTTGGAATTTTTCTGCACTCATTATACTGACTAAACCTGCTGATTGTTGGTCAAGCATTTTTCCAGGATGAAGAGTTGGACATGAGTAAATGAATAAAGAGACCAAGTATCGTTGTTTTATTCCGGGTAAAAGGTGTGCTATACACTTCAGGTGAGTTATAACCAGTAGCATACTTTTATAAGGGACACCTGAAGCAAACGAGTACCAACTTAGAATTATATATTTATGTCAAGATTACGAAGTCAAATACTGAAAGTGAATAAAATTTCAGAACGGTAAACTTTCGAATAAATGGGTAAAGGGTAAAATATAAACAGTTTCATATTGACATGCAATTGCGCCAACTTCATGGGGATGCTACGCTGTTATGTCCGCAGTCATGTTGGTCAAATTCCGGTGAGCTTCAGCTTCCAACCAACAGCAACTTTTATATTTTGTGCTAATTTATCTTGAACTGTAACAGACGATGAAGCATCCAATCGTTGCAGTGAATTAGAACTGTTGAAAATGAAATGATAGCATAGCTGACGCTCCATTTGAATTCAATCGTTTCCATCTTTATTTCGACAAAATTTTATGTTTATTCGTTTCAAATTTTTATGAAACACTAAATTGTGGATTAATGTTAAGAGAATAAGTTCATTTTTGGAAAATACAATTTCTTTGTTAAATTCTTCTCTCATCCTCAGTTCTGAAGGTAATTAGAAATGAAGAACTTCATGAATGGGAAAAGCATAGAAGAAGTTGGAAGAGGACAATGAAGAGACATATTGCGTAGATGAAGGTAATAAAATAAAGATTTGATTTCGGCTCTTTTCCATTCACACTAACATTATTAAAGTCATTGAGATGATTATGGTTTCAGCCAACCAATTAATTTTGATATTTCACAACATTTTTTAAGCGTATAGAAAAATTGCAATCATAAAATTGAATATTTACTGAGAATTCGGCACTGTTGTGATTTAAGTCATTGTCACTTTCACCTCCTCAAATTCATTTTCGTCTTTCAGCCATCCTCTATTTTCCCTTTTTTCTTATTCAGTCCCTTATAAAATAAACTTTGGTTTATTTCTATGTTCCATTTATTTTTGCGATTTATCAAGACAAGGTGAATATCACTCTGCTGATTCACTTACCATGATATCTTTGTTTACCATATTATCATCGTTCTGTCTCCAACTGATTTCATCTTTCTGCAGCAAAATAAGTCGGAGTCTGATATGGTAAAGAAGTAAGATAAAAGAAGAAGGTAAAGCTGGGAAGAATATGTTTCATTATATTCATATACACTTGTGTACTAGCATAACTTTGCCTTTAATTGATGACTTATTTAAAACAATTAAATCTTCTGTTCCTGTCTTATTCTATTATACTATTAAATAAATAAAGATGTGGCCATTTAACGTGAATATGTAATTAGAAACAAAATTTTTCAAGCGGATAAAATGTCGCCTAACTTCAATTAGAAAAACGTAAACTGACATGAAAAAAGATAGCTGTGTTTGTTTGAATTTTTCACACTTTAAAATTGATTAACATTAATTGATGAGCATATTTAAGTCTTTTTTGTTTTCACATCTTATCGCATTTGAGATGCGTGTGTTTACGCCAAGTATCACATGAATTAATACCAATGCTAATCTTCCGAAATAATTTCAATAATCTTTTTTATGCTGTAAGCGCTTCTGTTAGAAAAAAGATGCTAATCATTTAGCAATTTTCTAAAATGAATAGTTCCTCTTCCTCAGATAAAATGTTTGGTGCCAAGGATAGCAATTAAGGAAAGTAATATACCTTTCTTAATTGCTGGTGGTGACAATATGATGTTGAGAATGGTGTATCCCCAATAAAATATTTGTAATAAATGTCCTCTATAATGCCTATACCACCGACCGTCACGATCTATTCAATTGTATTCATTATTTGTGTATACAATGAGACAATTAATGATGTTACCTACAATAGGTGTACGTACCTCAAATAGATACCAGTACCCGCGACATAAAACGTTTGACTGATTGTTCCTTCTACCTGAGAATCATCACTGTCAACTCGAGAAGACGTACTACTATATTTAGATTGCATTCTCTCACCTTCCTTCACTTTTACTAAAATAATTTCAGATGCCGTCCTCATCATTCTAATTAGTAGGATAATGGCTTAATTGTATGTATGAGTTTAACTTGATCAGAAAAATGACGAGTCCAACTTTTTTTCCTAATTGGGAAGTAAAAATCTGGAAAACTTTAAAAAATATGAGAGAAACTAATTAGTTCTGATGATTAATGGAATTAATGGAATGTTTTTTGTCACACATAAAAAAGTATTAGATATGGTTACTTCGAAACTTAGATTTTCAAAGATTTTCTGCTTTCAAGACTTTCTGCTAGGCTTCTCATATTCAAAAAACTTTGTCCTTTTTTCCATTACATATGACCTTAACAAAATGTAGTAAAACGACAGGTTGAGGGAAGTAGATATGAGGGATGTGCCCCTCAAAAAAAATTTGACAGAACAATATTTCGTTAGGTTCAATTGAACAAGATCCAAATTCTTCAAAAGCTCCAATTTTAAAGTATCCTTTGTCAATTTTTCATGTTGAAAAAGCAATAGGAAAGAGAGAATACTGTATATAAGGCGTGTGTGTATTTATTGCACGCATGTGTGTCTTTGATGGATGGGAGAGGACGTGTCAACAGACGAGGTGACTGTTTCGATAGTTTGGTTCACTCTTTCGTTTGAGGACAATCATGTCGACGATAACGATGTCATCGAGTATGTGATAACTGTTCGGCTCTTTCGATGGCAGTGATGACCGTAGATACGGATTGCAACTTTCAAAAAGTAGAGAATTATTGGGAAATGATGGAATAATGTCAAATGCACAAACAACTTCCAACAGGTAATTTTTAATTTCCAACAATCAAATCTTCTGCTGTCAGAATAGCGGATTAGATTAGAAGCAATCCAAAAAGTTTTGGTCCGATGTGATCGAGAGCATCAATGGTGCCCTCTGCATAGTTGATCGAAGTTGGATTTGCTTTCAAATAATTCAGCTTTGAATAATTTTAAATGACGAAGTAATAGATGAGTAAGAAAATTTGTCAATTGTCCCGACACTTTTGTTCAGACAGCCAAAGTGTCATTTTGAAGATGCTCATTTGAGCAACATGGATTTTTTTTTCTGCTGATAGCTTTATCGCTATCTGTTCTACCAGTTAATATAGTTAGAAGCAAAAAATACCATAGCCTTCTTTTGAATTTATTTTGCAACCTATTAGAATGTCAATTACTGAATTTTTCAATTACTTTCCATAATTTATATTCACTTTTTCCTTTTTAACATACTAATATCGCTATTATACGATCAAGATATTGAACTCAAAAGAGTTGAAATGTTCCTTTTGTTTACTCCGATGTTTAATTAAATCATTTATAATTCCTTATCAAACTAATAGTCAACCCCACAGAATTTAGGATTTCGATTTCTCAATAAATTCATCATAAATTCTTTTGTGAAAGATACGATAAAATTATACTTTCTTAAAAGCCGTTTTGCGCTTTTCGACAATTTTCATTACCTTGCTATTCTTCGTGGATAGAAGAAATATTTCGCAAGATGGAAACAATTTTTTACTCAAAAAATTAAAAACTTACTGAAATTAGTATTGTGAGGCAAAATATTTTGCTGGTGTAACGGATACATTAAATTGGTAATAGTAATATAATCAACCCATCATTGGCATGCATTTTTCATATAATAAATTGCATGAAAAATGCATGTTATGTGCTTTGTGTATTCAATTGTCATCGGATGAACAATAAATTCACGTTAATTTTCAGTCATGTAGTTAATCATTAACAGGACTAATTATAGAGTAGAGTGTAGATAGGTAATATATACACACCCATGTATGTATAGTCATACCATAATCATATACACACGGATAGGCCAATTATAGGTCACGCATGATATCATCTGATGAGGTTAGATAAATTTTGTGTGACAGCGATGATGACAAAGATACTTATATGCGCATCTTGCATTACAAAACATTGTTCGTTTGTAATTTTAATAACAATAATTAACAGCAGATTACAAAATTACAGTTTGATTTTGAACCACTAAAAATGTTGTGTACGGATGGGAAAAGGAGTGCACCCGGACACACACATATCCACCACACACAGACACACACATGGATATACACAAGTACACACATACACAGACATACATACAGACACGAACACAGACACACACACACACACACATGCTTTATTAGTTGGTCCAAGGGATTGGTTCATTTTATTAAAATGGCTGATTTGATTTGCAGGAACTGTAGCCCATTTGCGAGGGGGAGGGTTGGCTGATAGGCTAATGTCATCGACACCTGTGTAACCTACTCTAGTCCCTCCTTCTGTCAACTTCAGCTACCGTTTCTTCATTCGTTCCCAGTGCAGTAGCATTGATTGTAATATTATTTAAGCAAAATTTGGCGATTCTGATGTTATCCTATTTACTACCGTCATAATGGTACTTTCAGTATGACTTATTGTTTCAAGAAACCATGAAAAGGAATGTAGTTCAGCGTTAGCAGAAGATTTTCAGATACAAATATATTGCCAAAATGTTAAAGGTTAAGGTGAAATAAAAGATATCAAAACAGTTTTGGATGAAAATTTGGGGAAACATTTTTTAAACGGACGAACTTTTCGTTTATCTCAGCCAGGAATTGTAGTAAGCTGTTGTTGAGGCTTTCTTCTTTATCTGTGACATTTTATAACTGTATATTAGCTTCAATTGCAGCATATACTATCCGTTTCTATTTAATTGACGTGACACTCTTTATGTGACGCTGCCGCCGTCCCTCCAACATCACAAGTGTGTTTCCTATATCAGATGACGGGATGATCCAACGATTACTGTCATCTTTTGTGTCGTTGCATTGCTTTGTCAGTTTTATGTTTTTAGACATACTTTATATTTTTGTATCAATCTCAAGCAACACAAATGTGTTTTTTGTCAGTAATTATGAAGATTTTTCGCCGTACTACTACCTGAAAAGTGGAATTTTCAGCACCAATATCTCGTGAATGCTTGCAACGTATACCAGTGATATTCAATTGTTTAATATTGGACTCATCGATAAACTAGGGATTTCAAACTGAACTTAAAGATAAATATTATTCTGATAAGTTTCTGACAAGAAGAAGCTATGATCAGATTGCGGTAAAATGGATCACCGTTATAATGTTTGTTAACAAAATGTTAATATTAAAATAATCATTATCCCTTTCACTTGACATTTGAAATGCAAAAGAAAACTAAGCCAAAAAACCATGACGACATTATTTTAACACACATAGCTGATAAGCAGATTATTTCCTTTGAATCTTGCTAGCTTAAAAAGACGAAAATAACTTTTTTCATTTCGATTTCCCTTTTTTTCAATAAGAAGTGAAAAAGAAAAACAGCAAAAAATCCATTCAAAAAGCTATTTCTTCCACAATCCATTTGTAAGTAATTCTTTACACTACAAGTTATTCCTTCCAATTTTTCCAACCAGTATAATTTGTTTACTTGATTGACTTCTGAAAACTTCACGTAGAAGGCCAATACTATTAGAAAAGGGACTGATTCCAAAATATTACCAATAGAATAGCTGCAAATAAATTAGTTATTTGATCAGGAATTTTGAAGTAAACAAAATGCATCTACAAATTTTAAAGAGTTAAGGTCTTGAAAAACCTTTCGTCCATAGGATTACCTGAAGCAGAAGTAAGAAGTGAACCCGTCACATAACTGATTAGACAGATTGCAAGCAAAAGATTACCTTATCCCAAATGTTGGTAATTTAGGGAAAACTTATGGCCATAATGATGTCTTTTTTGTTAGTACTTTTCAAAAAGGTTGCAATTTGCCTCACTTAAAAGAGTATATTTCTGTAACTGTTTGAATTGCCGGAAGATTGTTAGTATCTCTCAATGAAGTAAGTTGCCAAATACATCAAAATATCGGTAGTATTATAAAAGGGGATGACTTAACACTTTTGTATAATTCGCAAAAGCAAATTGAACGATGGATGATAAGACAAAATGATAAGGTTTTATTTGATAATGATAAGATAATGATATATGAACAAAATGATAATGATAAGGTTCAGATACGATTTTGGGACAATTAGAATGAATTCTAATCTCTTATGAATTCTATAACAATATGATGGGATTTTAAGTATAAATTTTAAGCGGCAATGTTTTGCCGATGATATGCTTCGTAGCTGTAACAGCTTTACGGGTGATAAAATGCAAACGATTTTGCAAATTAAAAGGATAGCGATAGAAACGTGTTTATTGCTGGCAAATTATTTTTCGTATCAGTAATAATTGAGGAAATGATTGCTTTTTTTCCTTGCATACTATTTGATTATAACTGCACGGTAGTTAACATTCATTTTATCTTTCCTTCCTCCCCAAACTTAGTGGCTTTTATCAACGGTTGAATAATCACGAACATAAAATTGCGAAACACTTGAACTATTTTTATCCTTTGTTCTTCCCGTTAACAGCTAGCCTCATCCTATATATTTCATTTTTTCTTTTTGTTTGACATATCATCATCATCATCAGATTTCCTCTATAAAGATCGTAAAAGCAGTTAACGGTAGTTTTATTCTGTTTTTTTTTCCTCTTTAAATTTTATCTCTTTTCCTCATTTTCCTATCAACCAAATTATGAATGATAATAATATGAAAGTCTTTATGAAGAGTTTATATGAACTACAACTAACTTCTTAATGATACTAACTAATAGAACAAACAAACAACTGCCTTTGTATAATTGTCTTGAAATTTGTGTGTTATATATATATATATATATATATATATATATATATATATATATATATATATATATATATATATATATATATATATATATATATATATATATATATA